CTCGCTGGATGAAGGATTAAAAAAATTGGCGTAATTTTGTACGTTGTGCTGGTATTTTTAAACACATCTCGCTTAAAAATAGGTATGTTGTTATAATTGAAACTGTGCCAAACGGGAACTGAATCGAATCGCTCATTTTTCCTGTACCGTCCTTACAGCATGACTGATCGGATTAATCGGTCAAAGGGTGTCCAAAAAATGTTGCAGCTTTAATCCCTACTCATATAGGGTATATTTCGAATAGAAATGTTGGATGTTGGATGATGACTGCACTAGGACGAATCATACCCCTATTTTTTGTCGATTTTTCTTTTGTCGCTTTTTATGTCACGTGTAATTGTAAGACTATGTACTGCTTATAAAGGGTGTTCATTTGAAAACTTCCCACCACGGATTTATCGAAAACCACTGATCAAGAGAAAAAACGCCCAAAAAACACGTCAAAAGATTTGTCAGTGGGACAACTTTTAACCAAAAACTACTAATTTTAAATGACAAAGGCTATAAAGTAATATAGCTTGTTTGAAAGGTCTTTCGAAGTCTTTTATTTTGACGTTTGATTTTTTTAAATAAGTCGATTCGTTTTCTAGAACATTAGAAAAATCTTTATTTATCTTAATTTGTTCAGACGAAAATATCACTTTTTTATTTCAATAAGTGTTGTTAGGATTTGCCAAATCTACAATTCGTTTATAATTTAAAACGGAAACTACCAATATAAACAGCACTTTGGAAGATTAGACGTGGCAACAACCAAACTCCATAAATTTCATCTATTTGTTAATAAGCATAACTGCAGGTATTGGAGTAAGGAAAATCCTCATTTTTTTGTAGATGGGCATGCCCAGTACCCCCAAAAAATTAATGTACGGGCAGGCATTTTAGGAAACCAAACGATTGAGCCATTGTTTATTAATGCAAATTTGAATGGAGACATTTATTTGGATATGTTGGAAAATACCATCAATCCGCACTGAAACCATTGAAAACCAAATCGAAGAGGATGAGGATGAGGCTGAAATACAGGGTTTGTCCGGAAAGTAATAGGACTGAGTCGATTTAAAAAAATTTATTGATCCAATCGTTACAGTTATTTAAAAACTTTCAAAATAGGCTCCTTCTGCGTCGATGCAGCGCTGCCAGCGCGATTTCCAAGCATTGAAGGCGTCACAGAAGGCATTCTCCGGAATAGCCTTGAGAGCCGCGGTGCATGCTGTAGGGAGGCTGCGGAAGCGTTGGGATGCCGGTCTTGGTCAGGTAGCTGTTCACAAGAAAGGCGGTGTGAGCCGGGGCGTTGTCGTGGTGCAACTTCCAGTCGGTTGCGATGTCTTGTCGGACCTGACTGACCCTTCGTTTGAGTCTCCCGAGCACTTCCACGTAAAACTTCCCGTTGACGGTTTGTCCAGAAGGAACAAATTTATGGTGGACGATGCCTTTGATGTCAAAAAAGACAATGAGCATCGTTTTCACTTTGGATTTGCTCATTCTTCCCTTTTTTGGGTCGAAGAGACGCCGTCGTGTGCCACTCGGAAGATTGCCTCTTTGTCTCGGGATCATACTCAAAGATCCACGGCTCGTCACCTGTGATTACGTTATTCAAAAATTGGGGGTCACTTTCACACATGTTCAAATTTTCTTGGCACACTTCCACTCGCCGCAATTTCTGGTCTTCAGCGAGCACTTTTTTGACCATCTTCGCTCACACCTTGCGCATGTTCAAATGCTGTGTCTGAGTTCAAAACTTTGCGCACACGAGTCACATTATCGGTGTTTGTCGAAGTCGAAGGTCTTCCAGCGACCTCTTCCGGGCCCTCCAAAAAGGCCTGGTGCCGAAACACACCACTTCTTGCTAAAGCAACATCTGGGTAAGCCTGCTTGATCATATCAAACGTCACTGTCGCAGATTTACCCAGTTTCATACAGAATTTAATCGCGCACCTCTGCTCTAACGAACGCTGCTTTTTCGGCTTGCACCACCCACAGAAACACGTTACGCCAAAATGCCTGTCCTGACCTACGTGCTAAGAGACAACTGACCAGCCGCTCATTCGTTAGCCAGGAACGCCCTCTACCGAATCCAGTCGGTGGGCGCACGCTTCTAAGTACAGTCATGGCGGAAGAAAATGAGTTCTATTACTTTCCGGACAAACCCTGTATATTTCCAGCAAGACGGCGCTACTCCTCACTGTGTTCTTCCGGTTCGGCAATGGCTAGTCGTCGAGTTTCCAGATAAATGGATAGGGCGAGCGATATATAGAATGACCTCTTAGATCTCCTGATTTGACGCCATTGGACTTTTTGCTGTGGGGCCATTTGAAATCTATTGTGTTTACTCCGCAACCAGAAAATTTGGAAAAAAGCTGTCATGATATCCCACAATATGTTTTTGAAAATGTCCGTCAGGAATTTGAATATCGCCTTTATCATTGTTTGGCCAATAAAGGGCAAAATGCTGAACACTTATTGAAATAAAAAGTAATATTTTCGTGTGTTTTTGTTTTGGGCCAGAGGTAAGTTGTTTGGAGCTAGTGGTACCTTTCACACCATTTATTTCTATGTTCAACGGCAAAGTTTGAAGTGTAGGACTCAACATTTCCGGGTCCTGCTGAATTTTGACTTTATTATTCCAGCTGAATTTTTTTCGAAAATAACGTGAATGCCTAAATAAAATTACACATTTCACGTATTCACATTTTGCTTGCGTCAGTTTTGTACTTAACGATTGTAGAGGTACATAATAGTGTTCACCTTTCCTTCATACTAGCAAAAAATGCCCGTAGCAAAATATGTTTGTAAATCTGCACCGAATCGGAAAGCTTTTACGTAATTTTGTTTTCGTACCGACGCGGACTACTGAAATAATTGCTTCACTTATTGGTAATTAAAATTTATATCGTTCCTGACTATTTTTCCGTTTTTACTAGCAAAGATCGACATGTTTTCCGAACGTCTTATAATGTCTACACGGTGAATAGCTAACCGTATCACAAATTTTAATTGATTCTTTTACGGTATTGTAGAGTTTTATATAAACTGTCAATAAACTCAATTCAATTTATGGTTTAAACCAAAAGAAAATGCTAAAGTTGGATACGACTTGAAAGGTCGCACTCAACAGTGACCACGTCTATGTGTAGTCCTATAAAAAGTACAGTCTTCAGAAGTTTTAGATTTAAGACAAATTCCTTGCATGCTCTTTCTGATGTCGGAAACATATGGCAACAACGCATGTTTCAATACGGTGAGCAATACAAAGTATATTTTGGCAGCACGATCAACCGGTGCAATGCCAATATAAAAATAAATTAAAACGCGAATTCTATTGTAACCAAAATAACAAACATGCCAAACGCCTCAAACGGCAGTGAAATAATCAACAACCCATTTATTCATTCCTATTTTTTGCTTTATAATTTTTGGCTCGCTCCGTAGAAATCAAATACATAGGCGTCGCAAGACGTGTAGATAAAATTAGGTTCTGTAGGCTTTGGTAATAGCAACTTGTTTTCATTTATATTGTCTTAACTTTATTTATGGACAATCCCATACATCTTGTGGAAATGTATTAAATAAGGTTTAGTGATTTAGTTTGCTCTAGATAAAAGAAATACACAGTTTAATTGCTTTTATCTTCAATCAATGATGCAGTATTACAGTATTACAAACGCTAAAATGGTAGAATATGTTAAATTCAGCTTCTATACCCAGCGTCCAATTACGATAGAAACTCTGGGTTTATTACCTTAAATGTTTCAAAAACTGATTGATGAACCAACTTCCAATTTTCCAATAACATTTCACCCGTCCAGCATTTTTAACATTTCTATCACTGTACTTAATTCTTTCACGAAATGAAACGATATGGAAGACATTGCGTGAAGTCGGTTGACCGCAATTCCCACGCAACGCTGTCATCATTTCATAAACGATTATGTTCGACATAAGCTAGCCACTGAGGAAAAAGTTGTTACAAGAAATGCATTGGATCACGTCAGTCAAACAGGCCCATACAATTAGACCCCAGTCCTCGCCCATTTGACCGCGTTGCGGAATTTTCCATCGGTCTTACCAACAATACCGGCGCCACCATCTGTCAATGTTGCTGTGACTAACCTCGCCACTAGCCAGCCCCAGCAACCACGCATCGGTCAGGCCGTAGGTATATCCAGAGACGCGTACCTTGAAAATATTATTTATCCTTCAAGTTCTAAGTGCAATTGTACGAGGACAGCTATGATGTGTGAAATAAAATTTAAGGTGCGTAGAATTGCTGCAGTGAGAAGCGTATAAATATACAAACACCAAAAAATTGAGATATACGCTCCCTCACCTTCTACAACTCGCAACTTTAAGCCCTGCGAAAATTTTACTGAAAATAAACAACGGTATAAACCGAAGTTAGAGCTTTTTTCGTTTTTTCCTTTTGCTTGTAGCTCCGTCACCAGTTTTCAAAACAGCAAATCTTTTTACTTCCCATGATTTCTGGCGAGGAAGTATTGTAATCGCGAAAAATTCCTAAAATTATATGACATGTAAATCACGAAAAATTATGTCACTCAGTTCCGTCGGTCTGTCTGTTAGGTGTCTCCTGTAATCTCTCAAGGTAAATAAGATACAATCGCATATTTTCTATAGTATTCAAATCCGGTCCTCAACTTTTTTCTTGTAACCTGGTCAGCGTGAAGATTAAAATCATCAAAGACCAACAAGAATATTGCTCCAAATTATACATTATGTACTTTTCATTTCAATTTGTACATGAGAAACTGGATAGTATTAGCTCTTCTTGTTCCTAGGATCTCGTAGTCACAGTTCTTGTCAAGTCAGCAATATAGCAATACCTTCTAGTATTAACCTAGTGCACTGTACTACTGTTAATGCCTAAGAAGAACTTCGTTTTCGGTCTCCAAGAGTTTGTTTTTAGTCGATTGCCTATGAAGATACGCCAATGATCGCACGCGGCTTGAATTTAACTCGTAAAACAAATATAACTTCGAACAGCGAAAAGTAGGCTGGGAATTTGATTTTCAGTTGTTTTCGTTTGATGGCGGCGATGCGTCGACGGCGCGGTATTATCGATTTTTTTCCTCATTTATTATAAATTTGTATGATTTGAACGATCGATTTTTCGTCAGCAAACCGTGTAAACTACCAGCTTTTGTGTTGCTTTTCATATTACGGGACCGCGTTGAATGGTATTCGGAACTTTTGCGCCCAATGGAGTATATAATGTGCTGAGTTTGACGTGGCGGTTATTTTCTGTTCGGGAACTTTTTTGTCCAAATATTAGTCGAGTGTTCTGTGACCTCCGATACGTTGTTTTTTACATGTGAGGTAGTTGTGCTCCACAAAATTGCCTAAATGGGGTGTGGAGTAAAGATAAAAAAGGGAGATTCTAAGAAGCAGGTTAGTTGATTTTGTCATTTAGGTTAGGTTTGCTTGAGATGGTGGTAATACTCACATCACCTACATGAGCGTCCTTTCCTATAATTCCAGGTCATTCTTTTATGTCACAAGAGTGAATATAACAACTTTCAATCTCCCCACTCAAACTTTGTTGTGGAAAGAAATAATACATTCAGTTTTCCCTTTCTGAATATTTGGCGAGAATTTATTACTTCATTACGAATTTTTGCGTTTCCAGTTGACAACTTAACGATCGGTTGAAATGGACATGTTTGCTTTCTGTCTCTGCAAACACGACCAACCGTAGCCAGCGCTGTCTCGTGCTCATTAGCAACTCATCAGTGCGATATGTCTGGTATTCCTGGAGACAGATGAATGGAAGGCAAACAAGCGGGTAAATACTGTGCTGAAGTAGGCGAAAAATCTGAAGGTCACTATCCAGCAATGGTGTAAGTGACAGGAAAGGATGACATGATTGGATGACAGGAAAGAACACTCGTGTATTGGCTGCTGTTGATGTTACATAGTCGAACACATCACATATTTAATCCCTTGTGACGATGCATTCTGTTGTATATTTCTGAGCTTTATGGGGCAGCCTCCTAGACTGAAATGGCTTAAGGTCAGATAACGGGATGTATTTTTAACTTGATGGAGGATTTTTCCAGGTTGTTTTTCGATCATCGATTCTAGCTTTTTTTTCCTTATGATTTGATTGTCTTGCCTTGCTTTTTCAAAACTTCGAAAGGATTATGAAGATAAAAAAATATATCAAGCGATGTATTAAATACCGTTGCAGAAAACGTCAAAAGACAAAGTTGAACAAAACCAGTTTTTTGAGCCTACTATGTACCAGCAAGCCGGCTATTAAATATTCGTGCTATATATTTCGTGATATACTTGTCATTCATATCCACAATTGCTTCAATTTCCAAAAATAATTGACAGTAACTGTATATACAGTAATGGACAAAAGTATATAGACATGAATATTTACGTAAATACCTTTAGAAAATGAATGTATACTTCATTGCTTCATAAATAAATGCGTTATTAGTAGAAAAACTAAATTCCATATTTTTACATTATCTGCAATGAACACAATACAAGTCTGAATATATCTGAATATAAGCACTATGAGGGACAAAAATATGTATACAAATTCTTTTTAACATTAGTTTAGTACAGTTTCGTGTCAAAAGAGGATTAGTTTGTGTTCATCAAGTGTTGTGGAATATGTTGAGTGATTTTAAGACCATGCCGCGTGCTCCAGAAATTTCTTTCGATGTGAAAACTAAGATCATTGAGTTATACAAAGATGGTCAACGTCAATTCGACATTGCCAAAAATTTGAAGCTGAAGTGTAAAGCAGTTTGGGCAATATTCAACAAATATAAACAAAAAGGTATCTTGGAAGCCTCTAAGAGAAGTGGTCGGCCTAGAAAACTAAATGCTAGATCAGTTAGATTAATAAAAGTAATTTCGTCCAAAGATCCGTTTAAAACCACAAGACAAATAAATTCCGAAATCGATACAAAAGGAATTGTCAGTGTTTCTACGAAAACTATAGGTAGAAGATTGAATGATTCGATGAGTTATTTGCACGTCGCCCGAGTAAGAAGCCGCTAATCTCGGGGAAGACCGATTACAATTTGCACGGTTGCATCTTGATTGGAGCATATGTGACTGGAAGAGGGTTTCAGTAACGAATCCAAGTTCAGTATGTTTGGATAAGATGGTATTCATTACGTTAGACGTCCTGGTGGACAAAGATTGAACCCCAAGTACACTTTGCCCACTGTCAAACATGGAGGCGGGTCTGTTATGGTGTTTGGGGGTGCTTTTCGGGGTTTGGGATGGGACCTTTACATAGAATAGATAGCATTATGGATAAGTTTGTATACACAGACATACTAAAGTATGTCACGTTACCCTATATGGAAGACAATATGCCCTTAAGATCAATCTTCCAGTAAGATAATGACCCGAAGCACACTTCAAATTTCGCAATGAAATTCTTTCTGGATAAAAAAATACCAGTTCTCAAATGACCTTCACAGCCTCCCGATATAAACCCCATTGAAAATCTATGGGAATGCTTAGATAAGCAAATACGAGATAAAAATTATTCAAACAAGGATGAACTTTTTGCCACTTTAGAGCAAAAGTGGAAACAGATTGATGAATCCTAGATCAAGAGACTTCTACAATCTATGCCGAGACGATGCCAGGCGGTGATTGATAATAATGGTTATGCTACAAAATATTAACACAAACATGGTTGGTTTTCTATAATTCAGTGAACTTTGCTTCTTTTTTCTATAATTGTTTTGCTTTGTGTATACAGGGTTATCCAAATTAAGTGTCCACCATTAGTAACTTTGTTATTAGTGAAAATACAAAGTTGTTTGAATTAGCAAACTAGTAGCATTTTTAACGCTGGTAAAAATGAGAAATAAAAAAAAAACAATTGAGAGTCGTTATTTTGATTTTTTTCAGTAAAATAACATTTTTTTAAATGGAAACCCCTGTATATTATATTTTTTTCTGTTAAAGCATCAAATTTTAAACAAAAAAGCTTACAATAACTTTTCTCCTAGGTTACAAATTGTTGAAGTTATGGCCTCCAATCTGAAACAATTAAATTGTATCGACAAACTTTATTTTCAACATCAACTTATAATCTTACAAAATACAATAACAATTTTTTTTAAAGAAGATGCTCGAAAACACCACCTTGTTCTTCAATACATTTTTGGGCACGTTTTTCAACTGCTCGAACTGTCTTAAGTATGGTCCTACCATCTATCTGGGTTATCTTTTCCCTAACTGCAGTCTTTAACGCGTCAAGGTTATCGTACCTTCGCTTGTAAATTTGGTTCTTTAAGTAACCCCACAAGAAGTAATCAAGTGGGTTTAGATCTGGTGATCTGGGAGGCCACTGTATTGGGCCATTTGTTCCTATCGACTGATCATTAAAAGTAGTACTTAGAAAATGATAAGTACCTCTGGAGTTGTGGGCAGGTGCGCCATCTTGCTGAAAATGCAGATGATGTCTACTTATAAGATCCAATTCGTCTAAGAAATTAGTCAGAATTTCTGACATAAATTCCACATATCTTTCACCAGTTAGGGTTCCCTCATAAAAGAACGGGCCAACAATTTTTGAACCAATTATACCGCACCAAACGTTGAAACTGAAACGGACTTGTGGGCCTCTTGGATGTACTAACAAAAGATTTTCTCTTGACCAATAATGGTGGTTTTTTCTATTAAACATTCCAGAATTTGAAAAATTTGATTCATCTGTTCATAAAAGGTAACGAAAGTTATTTACATTTTGGCGACAGAAGCTAAGATACCAATGGCAAAAAACAAGTCTTCTCTCTGGATCCCCTGCCAAAAGCGTTTGAACTGGTCGGTACTTATACGGAATAAATTTGTATTTTTTTAAAATCCTTTGAACAGTACCATAACTGAAATTAGAGTCCTTGAGAATATCTGCTATTGAATTCTCACGATAAGCTTCAAAATATCCAATAACTGCAATTTCCGTGGCCTCGCTTATTATGAATTCTTTTTTTGCCCTTGTTTTAGCAAAAACATTTTCGTTGCCCCTAAATTTTCGATAAAGTCTCAGAAAATATCGTTCATACGGTTGAATGCGAGCGGGATATAATTCACTGTAGTACTCTTGCTCTCAAGGAGGATTTTCTGCACACTAAATAGCATTCTAACATATCACACTTTTCTTCATGGGAGAACATTTTTCTTTAAATTAATGACACAATAAAGCTTATAAACAAGTATTTACACTAATGTTTGACATTATTTGATTTTATCATTGTTTTCCAAAGCCTTCTAGTTGCGAGTATGTCCAGTTTAACAATTTGTCGCTTATATTAATGCTGTCAAATCGCGAACGCCATGTTGTTTTCATAGCCGTCTTAATATTATAATACTGCAAATAATTAAAAATATTTATCGTTATTTTGACTTTATTTTTGACTTTAGCGGAAAATTCATTATGAACTTTTTTGTTTAAAATTTGATGCTTTAACAGAAAAAAATATAATATACAGGGGTTTCCATTTAAAAAAATGTTATTTTACTGAAAATAATCAAAATAACGACTCTCAATTGTTTTTTTTTATTTCTCATTTTTACCAGCGTTAAAAATGCTACTAGTTTGCTAATTCAAACAACTTTGTATTTTCACTAATAACAAAGTTACCAATGGTGGACACTTAATTTGGATAACCCTGTATATTTTGGTCCTTCATAGTTCCCGTTTTTTTCAATTATTTTTTTATTGAAGGGAGTCTAATGAATTTATTTATGTATAAGTGAGTATTATGTTATAACGAATTATGTATTCAGGTTGTTGTACAGGGTGGTCCATAAGTCCTTTGAAATTTCAAATTTGAATAAAATTTAACGGGTGAGCGTGAGCGGCGCGGGCGAGGTGGGGGCAGTATCTTCAGTGTCTGGGATTTAGTCGCCATAGAGTGTTTCACTGGAGCGGATCGTGCTTTTTGTGCGCGGCCTAAATATCGAGAATACCACAATTTACACAATTTTACAAAGTGTCCAACAGCTCAAACGATTAAGAACTGGGTTGCTAAGTTCGAAGAGACTGGTTCGACGTTAGATAAACAGCGGTGGGGTCGACCAAGGACAACTCGTATTGAAGAAAACATCAACATTGTGGCACAGTCTGTTCGTCAAAATCCTACCCAGTCTACTCGTAAGCGTTCCAGTGCACTAAACGTACCCAGAACATCTTTACAGCGGATTTCAAGGAAAGATTTACGTCTGCACGCTTACAAAATTCAGTTAGTGCAGGAATTAAAAGATAATGACGCTATTCAGAGACTAAACTTTGCGAATGAAATGTTGAATCGATCTTCTTCGCTCAATAAAGTGTTGTTCTCGGACGAGGCTCACTTCCATTTAAACGGTCATGTAAATAAACAAAATTGCCGTTATTGGAGCCCCGA